GGTGGGCAGAGTGCCTGGCCAAAAAAAAAAAAAAAAAAAAAAAAAAAAAAGAAAATCAAGATTTTCCCCTCCTTCAGCCCAAATCTGGCAGCTTGGCACCCAGGGGTGGGTGACCTCGGGCTACCCGCTCTGGACCGGCTCTCACAAGGCATTTGGGTGCCTGAAAAAATAAGCAACAGCCATCAAATCCTGCAGATTACCTGCCTGTAAGACGCTGTGGGAGCAGCAGGAGCGGGGCTGGCTCACAAACAAGCCCAGAGCCGAGGGGGACGGCAAGGCGGGGACCCCACCATCCCCGGGTGCCCCAGCGAGAGCAGAGCTGGTGGGGGATGGCAGCCAGGGTCCGACCCATCCACGGGGATGCAGCAGGGCTGAGATCCAGCGGGATCTGAGCCTAAATACAGCCCCGGGGCTGTGGGCAGGGTGCGTGGGTGGGGGGGCCCAGGTGGGGCCAGTTGGGGCCGTTGTCAGCCCCGGCTCCTGTGGGTCCCCGGCCATCGGTCACCAAAGCGTTTGGATGAGATTTTGGGGATGAGGAGCGAGGGGCCGGCAGCGGATCCAGCTGTCGCTCTCCTGCCCCACGCTGCTCCCCCAGTTACAAGCTGGTTGTAAAGCAAAACCATCCCGGCACGGATCTTGCCCAGGCGGGGTTTGCCCGTCCCCGAGGAGCCCCACGTCCCCCCTCGGGGTCGGTGGAAGCGAGGTTTCTGCGAGCCGCCCTGCCTTTGAGGATGCTGCCCCACGGCAAACGTTAGATCCACCCAAAAAGAGTTAAAAACCCCTTAAAAGGTGACTTTTATAAATCGGGGACAGGCTGCTTAAAACCAGCCCCCTCCAAAACAGGGCCATTCCTCCAAGAGGAAGAGTTGGGGTTTGCTTCTCCCGGTCCTTAATGAGCTGCTGCAATTAAACAGAGACAATAGGCATTGTCTGCGGAGTCAGGGCTCTGCTGGAGATGCCAGGAGGGATCCCGTTTGCCAGCCCGGGGTAGGAAGGCACTGGGACGCTGGCAGCCTTTTTTGACCCGGAGAGCAGTCGGTGCGGTGAGGACGGGTCCCGGTTGCCTTTCCACGGTGTCTTAGCCACTTGCTCCGCCGTCACCCGAAAGATGGGGAACGCCCCTCCCAAAAATGCCACATCCCCCGAGCGTGGCTTAAGGGTTTTGGCTGCCCACGAGGTTCCCCTCCGGCTGGCATCGTCCCGCTGGCGTGCCACCACGGGAGGCATGGGGTATCCCCAAATTCAAGATGCGGGAGGGTCCCCAGGAACCTCCTTTCTTCTTTTCTAGGTGAGGACGCTCTTTGTCAGCGGGTTGCCTCTGGACATCAAGCCCCGGGAACTTTACCTGCTCTTCAGGCCCTTTAAGGTACCAGACTGGAGAGGGGGGCTGGAAGCGTGGGGCTGGCCCCCTGCCCCACCGCCACAGCCCCACCAACCTTGGTGGGATCTGGGAGCCCACTGGTTTCCCCTAAAAAAGTCTTAATTCGGTCATTTTATTCACAGAAACAAGTTTCTGCGCCTTTTTCCCCCAATAAACCATAGGAAAATGGCATCGGGCGCTTTGATCGCACCGGGGTTTTAATTGCACGTTGACTTGCACCCCGTTTAGCAGCAGAAGAGCGTTGGCTGCGGGCCTCCCCGGCCTCTTCACCCTGCCAGACCTGCAGCTCAGACACCGGCTCGTTTCAAACACGAAGGATCACATTATCAGGCATCCAGCATCCCTACAAAAATCCCGTGGCAGCGAGTCCCCGCGCCGGTGCTGAGCCTTGGCAAGCTCCCCCCGTGCCCGCCCGATGCCCCCCGGCTGTAGGGCTGCCGGGCGATGGATGCGGGAGGTTTCCCTCTCCAAGGGGCAGTCGAATCGCGGGGATCTCCACCAAACACCCTTTTTTTATTCTTTTCTTGCAGGGGTACGAAGGGTCCCTCATCAAACTCACCTCCAAGCAGGTAGGAGCCGCTCGAAACGGGGCGAGCATCCCACGCCGTGCGCCCACCCTCCCCTGGCACCGCCGGTCCCCGGGGTGGGGGGCTCCCCGCGCTGCTCCCCGCCAGCCTGACTGATGGTGCCTCCTCTCCTTCCTCCGCAGCCCGTGGGCTTCGTCAGCTTCGACAGCCGCTCCGAGGCGGAGGCGGCGAAGAACGCGCTGAACGTGAGTGCGCCCGGCCGCTCCGTATTTTTTCGGGATTTTGTTCCCCTCGTTTTCCCGGCCCCGGATACTCTCCGAATTCCTCCATCCTGGGGACGTGTATCTCCCGTGCCGGCTGGCCCCACCGCATCCCCATCCCTCCAGCTGATCCCCATCGGCTGCTTCTCCTCTGCATCCTCCCTCCCGGGGGGCTGCATCCCTCTCGCCGTTCCCAGGGCCATCCAGAGGGCTTGAACCCTATGGATTAGAGCTTTAGATAGGAGTCAGCGAGAGACGCCTTTCCTGGCCTCTCCTGATTTTCAGCGGGAAAAATCCCAGCTAAAGCTGCAAAAGAAAAAGCAAATTTCACTTTCCTTTAGCAGCTCCCTCCTACCTCTGCGGAGTTAAACTGAAAGCAGTCACAGGGAGAACCATGTGGAGCCGGTTCTCCAATTCCTCCCCGGGTTTTGGTTTGTTTTTTTTTTTTTCCTTGTCTTCGTTTTCAATGTAAAACTTTTTTTTTGGCTCCGCTAATCCCTCTGGATAAGAGCTCGGCCGTGCGGGATGCCGACTGCCAAATATGGTGCCGATGCTAAAGATGCCGGAGGAACGCGAGCTGCCTCGGGGCCCGGCAAATTAGCTCATTTCAAGGCTGGAAGTTTGAAAAAAAAAATAAATAATTGGGAGTTATTTTTGCTGCGGGGCTGGCACACGGCTGTGCTCGCCCACCCGCCGTGCCTCCTTCCCTCCCGCAGGGCATCCGCTTCGACCCCGAGATCCCCCAGACGCTGCGGCTGGAGTTCGCCAAGGCGAACACCAAGATGGCCAAGAGCAAGCTGGTGGGCACCCCAAACCCCAGCACGCCTCTCCCCACCGCCGTACCTCAGTTCATCGCCCGGGAGCCCTGTAAGTACCGGCCGTGGGTCTCCCAAGGGTGCTGGGGGGAGCAGGGATGCTGCGGCGGGGTGGTGATGGGAAACGCCAGGTCCAACTGGAAGCAGCAGCGCCCGCTTGCTGCATGGTGGCACGTGTCGGCCGGTGGCCAGCGGTCCCCAAAGGCGGCTGCCGGTGCTGGAGAGGACCCAGGGGCCTGTGACAGCTGGCTCGGCGCGGTGCGCCGGAGCGGGATGAGCTTCACTGCGCCGGGGAGTTTCCAAGTCGCGGCTGGGGGTCTCGGTGGAGACCTCGGTGATGTCTTGCTGCGAGCGTGCCGTACCCATTTCTGCTACTGGAAAAGCATTTCTCCTGCGGTCGCCGGTTCCTCGCCTCACTGCTGCGCACGGGCATGAGCCGCACGTTCTCCTTTGTGCCGGGCCTCTGGGGTAATTAAACCTCACGGAGACGACGCACCCAGCCCCTCAGCATCGCTCGCCGCTGACCGAACCCTGCGTTTTCCCATTCGGCGTTGGCTTTGCGGGCCGGCTCTCAGCTCCGGGGGAAGCTCCGCTCCTGCTCTCGCCTGCTTTGGGGGGAGAAGGAAGGGCCGGCGGTGCTGTTGACCGGCGCGTGGCGTTGCGGGGACCGCGGCCCGTCGGTCGCCGTTAACTCTCCTTCTTCTTTTCTTGCAGATGAGCTCACAGTGCCTGCACTTTACCCCAGTAGCCCTGAAGTGTGGGGGCCGTACCCTCTGTACCCAGCGGAGTTAGCACCTGCTCTACCTCCTCCTGCTTTCACCTACCCCGCTTCACTGCACGCCCAGGTAATTCAGACCCATCCGCCACCACTGCGCTCACCCTCCCACCCGCCCCGGACCCTTTTTCCCCCTCGGTGCTCGCCGCACCACTAACCTCTGCCCGGCTAACAGGCACCCCCCGCCACCCTGAGATTTAGGGACAGCACCCAAAGCGAGCTGAGCGCTGGCAGCGGGGCGCGCGGGCAGCGCTGCCCACCTCTGCCCAAACACCTCTCTCTGCCTTCCTCCTCTTGCTCTCGCCACGGGCAGGCAGGCAGGGAGGGAGGGATGGGGGATGCTCGCCGGGGCTGGATCGTCCCCATCGCTCCCGGCACCGAACGACCCGTCCGGCGGCCGGCGCGGTGCAAGATGGGGGCTCCTGAGCCCCTGGCCGCTCCTTGAGCATCGCTGGGATGCGGCTTGCACGACACGGGGCGTGAAGCAAAGCGACTCTGACAGGGAGGAGAGGGCAAGCGAAGCGCAAATGGAGGACCCATCTTTTATTGACGAGGCGCTCTCTTGTCACAAGCGCTTTTCTGCTGGCTGCCACTGCCGGTGGCCTCCGATGGCAGCACGCGGCCGTTAAAAATTAACCACCCGCCCCGGGAGAGGAGCGGGGAAAAGAAGAGAAGAAGTGGAAATGGAGGTGGCGGAGGATTTCTTTGCAGTGCCAGCCTTCGGGATGTTTCCCAGAGAGGCATCGCGGGGATGCCGGGAAGAGACCGTCGCCGTGGCAGGGAAACGGGCAGCTGCCTCTCCAACGGGGAGAGCGGCCCCCTGCCTCTCCAACGGCCGTGCCGGACATCATCCCGGCTTTTGCTCCTCGCCGCCAGCTCCGGCTTGGCGGTGAGCAGGAGGAAGCGAGCACGCAGAAACAGATTTGCCGGATAAGCTGCATCCGAAAGGCTTTTGGCCCCGGCCTGCCAGGGTTGAGCCGGGTTATCCGGAGCCGCCATTGCGGAGAGCCGGAGGCAGCCGGGGGCTGGTTTGAGTGGGAGGGCGAGGAAAAGCACTCGGCGTACAAACCAGCCGCAGCCTTTGGATGAAACTCCGGCTTTTCGGGCCCTGCTGTTTATAGAAGAGCGGCGGTAAATATTATTGCAGCTACGTACTTGCCTTGTCAAATAACCGCTAACAGGCAGCACCTGCGCTGCTCGGGAAGCCGGGGAAACAGCCGGCAAAGGAAACGGAGGCGTAAGGAGGCTCCGAGAGCCCCCTGGGAAAACCCAGACTGAGACTTGAGGTTAGATGCTGTTACAAGAAATATTATCCGCTGCGGTTATAGAGGCAGGGAGGATGGTGGTGGCACCCCTGGGTGCTGGGGTGAAGCAGGCAGCGCTCCCCTCCCGGGGGCCGCAGTCCGTCCCCGTCCCCCGGTGCGGCTGCCAGCGTTGTGGGTTTGGTGGGGGGTGTCGGAGAGGGGTGCCACCACCCAAACCAGAGCTGCTCGCTCCGGGGTGGCCTCCCCGACTGGGTCCTGCAGAGAGCGGCGGGATGGGGAACCACGGGACGGCAGGGCCGATGTGGCGTTATCCGGCAGAGCACCGAGCGCCCCTGGGCAGGCGGCGAGAGCCGTTGGGTTTTGGCGTCTTGATGTTTTCCCCCCCATCTCACGTGGGCTTTGCAGGTGTTAAGATGGGACGAGCCCACCTCCTGCTCGGTGAGACCGCGGTGCTGCCGCCCCAGCTCGGTCCTGCTGCAAGCAGCGATGCCAGGGGCTGTGCTCGGCCCCAGCCGGTGTCACTCTCCGAACCGGAGCTGGGATGGCTGTGCTGTTTGCGTTTCGACCTCCCTCCGCCCCATACCTGGGGAAGGCCGGCAAAGGGGAGCCCAGAGGCGGCCAGCTCTTGCCAGGGTGGGCGGCCACCGTCCCTCTCACCCTGTTCCCCTCTTGTCTTTGCAGATGCGCTGGCTCCCTCCCTCCGAGGCTGGTTCTCAGGGCTGGAAGTCCCGTCAGTTCTGCTGAATGCCGGGTGAGTGCCGCCGCCCCGCTCCCACCCTCCTGCGCCGGCGTGGTGGGCTGGGGGCCACCTCCACCCTTACCCTCAGCTCCCCCCGCCGCGGCTCTCGGGGTCTCCGGCAGCTGGGGGTGGGTGGCCAGACCCTATGCCCACACGGGCGAGGCCGCTTCCCGGCAGGCAGCGTAGGTCTGGGTGCCCTCCTTGCCTCCAGGAAGGGGATGTCCCTGCCACTGTCCACCCCAATGCTTTCCCAAATAACCCCGGGTGGGGCATGGTCCTGCAAAAGAAGGCGGCGGCAGGGCCGCCCGGCTGAAGGCAACCTCCGCCTCCCAGTGCGACGCAAAAATCTCATTAAACCTTAATGAAAACTCTCCTGGCAGCCGGGAGTGGCCAGGGCTGCCAAAACGAGAAGCGCGGAGTGATCCCAGCCTGCCCCGACCATCCCAGGTGCCATCCCCCCACGCTGCCGATGCCTGCCGGGAAGCCTCCTGCGCCGTGTCCGCACCCAGCTGCGGAGAAACCCCAGCGGATCCAAGGAGGCGGCGAGGCTCCGGCATCGGCTGCCCCTGTTCCTGTGCCACCACTCTGCCCGTCCGCCCGAGCCGACCCGAGACTTGGATCTGCAAAGCATTTGCCGGCTATTTTAGGCCTAGCAGATAAAAATAGGGAACGGCGAAGCTTTGGGAACCAGTGGTTCTTCCAAAATACGGAGCGTGCCAGTATTTCCAGCTAAAGTGTAAGCAGAGTCTTATTTGGGAAGAGGAGATGAGCGAAGCCCTTGTAACAGGTCCACCTGCCCACAGCAACCCTGGTAGCTGCAATGGGTGGCGAGGATGGGCTCAGCCTGGACAAGAGGGTCAGGGACCTCCCAGCTCCCCACAGGGTCCTCTAGCCGGGAAGGGCTACGGCACAGGGCTACAGCCAAGGGTTTTGCTCTCACCCTGGCTCTCCTGCCTGCATCCTCCTTGCATTTGCTGCGTGGAGCCCATCAGGGCAGGGTTAAGCTGCAAACTGTCCCCTTGAGAAGCGCCGACCCCAGCCACTGCAAAATAACCTCTCCCCGCAGCACACCGACCTCAGCCCCTGGCTGCCAGCCGCCCCTGCCAGCGTCCCTAACCCTCCACTGCGTCCTCTCACAGGTCTCAGGTGTGTGATGGTGGCCTACAGTCAGTCTTGTGGGTATTAACGGAGTCTTCCAAGGCGGCTACTGGGTTGGCGTGCTCTCCGCAGAACCACAGTGTGCTGGTAAGGCTGCAGCACGGCGCCCGGCTGCACGAGGGGGACACGGCTCCTTGGGCTGCGCTGCTTCGGGGAGGGGGTAGAGGGATGAGGAAGCCGGCGGGACATCCGTGAGGGGCAGCGAGACGGGCCCATCCCTGGGATCGAGCCCTGCAGGCTGGCGTTGCTGCTCCGCTACGGCACGGCGTGGCACAGCCCCTCCAGCTCCGAACCAGGGCTCCGCCATTCCCGCCTTTATCGCGTTGTTATCTGGGGCGAGAGTTTCGACCGCCGAGAGGAATGCCTCTCGGCTTTGAATTACCCCCAGTAATCTCATCTCGCTGCCGTCCTCGCTTCCTGCCTTGGATCAACAGAGACTGAATTCCTCTTAAGTGCAAAATTCAGCTCAAACTTAACTCTCGGCTTCCCAGCTGGTACCTCCTCAGTTAAAACCCCAGGGGCTACAGCCAGAAACTGGGACCAGTGGGGTCCTTCCCCTCTGCCCGTCTGATCAACGCCGGGGTGCCGACAGCCCCGGCACTTCCCACCGTGCCCTTTCCTGGTTAAACAACTGTCCTTGGAGCGCGGTCCCGGCACGGGCTGCTCTCCCTTCCTCGCCCCGATTCCAAAACAAGCTTCCCTCTCCCCCAGGCTGCGGCACGGGAGCTTCCCCACGAAGGGAGAGAGATTAACCACGGCCCCTTTTCCGCTTTGCCTCAGCCCGAGATCGCGGCCGCCTTTTTTTTTTTTTTTTTTAACACC